GGACTTTTCTATGCAGACAAGACTTCTATGCAGTTGGAAGCATTTTGTGATGCAGAGTGGGGGGGATGTGCTATCACTCGACGGTCATTGACAGGTTATTGTATTTTCTTGGGGCAAGCATTGATCTTTTGGAAAACTAAAAAGCAAAGGACTGTGTCAAGATCATCCTCTGAAGCGGAGTACAGATGCATGGCTTCAACAGTTTGTGAATTGCAGTGGCTCACTTACTTGGCAAATGATCTCTGGTTGCCCTTTTCTACTCCAATCTCTCTTTGGTGTGATAACAAGGCAGCTTTACATATCTCTGCCAACCCAGTTTTCCATGAACGAACGAAGCATTTGGAAATTGATTGTCATGTTGTTCGTGATCAATATAAAGCCGGTCTCATTTTACCTCAGCACATCTCCTCTTCCCTTCAACCGGCTGATGTATTCACAAAATCTCTTGGTGGTGCTGACTTTTCTCGGTTCATTTGCAAGCTAGAAATGCAGTTGCCTCCCCCCATTCCTGCTTGAGGGGGGGGGGGTGTTGGAATTATGGAGCTTAATGTGATTGATCGTGCATGGTTTATGTTCATGCAGAGTGTTTTAGCACTTTATCTGTCATTACTCCTTTTATCTGAAGTCGCGCTACACTTACTAAGTCGCACTTGTTTTCTGTTGTTACTTTCTTCTTGTCACGTTTTTTAGTTATTGGCACATGTGTTATCTTTCTATTAGCTTCTTTGTTCCCCACGTGATATAAGTGTGTTAGCTGGGGGTTTTCTACTGTAATTTTGTATTGAACATTTACAGAGCTCCAAGCTCAACTTTAATGGTGATCTAGGTTTTGTATATTTTTTTGGTGATTTCAACGATTATTTGACATATTAACTCAAGTTTACATATATATATGCATACAAAACATGTGTATGTAAATGCAAGATACAGTTTATAATCACTGAATGTAATTTACAGTATAACTTTTATACTATTTTACAAAAGGGGAGTGTAGAGTCATGAGACTTATCTTTACCCCTTTTGGTAGTGTCGAGAGCTCACAGCAGAGCTTTGGAGCTTTCAAAAAGCAGATCTTTTTTCTGTAAAGCTAGTGATTTTTTATTCACTCACCCATTGT